TTGCTCCAAATGCATCAACAAGAATCATATTCCTGAACTTTGTCAAGGAAGTCCATGCAAAACACAGATTAAGATACATGTGTTGTTATAAATTAAAACTAAAATTCACAACTGCAAACCAAAAAGTAAACTGTGTCTGGCTAAGCTTACTTCTAAATTCTGATTCTAAAGGAAGATTTCTACAATAGCAGGTGAACAGAGGTTTCTATGAACAGCAAAGAACACTACAGAAGAGGGTAGAAATGTGTTTACTTCCTTCGTTGGGAGTGCATCACAGTGATCTGGAGGGGCTACTCTAGAATGAAACGGGGTTTAGAATAGAAAGCTTCAAAACAGCAAAGGCAGGTCATTAACTAATGTACTTTTAAAACAAACGGTCCAGTCCTCCCCAGCCCACTTTCTTCTTATTTTAGTCCTACCAATTGAGTCACGTAACTTGAACAATATCAAGAAGTCCCTGCTGTTCTGTCCCCAAGTCAGTGAACAGATGACATGTCTCCTTTATTACATCTTCAAAAAGTGAAATCTAAGAAACTCTGCGGGGGGGGGGGGTCTCACGTGTGCCCGTCATTTTTAAATTAATTACCAAGTAGTTATGAAATAATGTTTTAAAAGATGGGGGAAACTAGGCTTTAGGATAACAATAATTCTCTCAACTGAAGGACCCTCCCCAGATAAATATTCATTCATTGAGCACTTGTATAACTTGAAGTTGAGAGTAAATTTTTGAGGAAACATCGAGCGTACCTGGAGTTATTCCAATGCAAGGAGCAAATACCGCTTAAAATGCTCCGTGCCTTAGAGTCAATGCCTGGAGCGAGGGAAGACAGCGAGCGCAAAAACATGCAGACACCTGACCTTGCCCACAAGTCGAACAGTTCTGCACCCCTCCCCCTAGCTTCCCCGGGAGCCAGTTCACGCCATCCCAATTGGTCAGTCTGCCTGTTCCAGCACCTGCCTGGCAGGGACAAGGGAATCTCCACGGAAGACGAGAGGGTCTGAGAGGAGGCGGCCTCGGAAACGCGGAGGCCCGGGAGAAGAGCATTCCAAGAGAAAAAGGAGAGGACCTTCAGAGGGATGAGGCCGGGCGGTCAGAGGCTAATGGCGACACGGCTTGAGGGTGATGACGGGGGGACAGAGGACGGAGGGCTCAGGAGGGCCCAGGTGAGGTGAGAGATCGAGGACCGCCGGCGGGCAGCCGAAAGGGAAGAGCTGAGGGGCTGGGAGGCCTGGGGGCGCGGAGGTAGGGCAGTGGGGCGGCAGGGGCTGCGGTGGCCGCGGCCAGCCCCGGCCAGCCCGGGCGCGCGGACTCACGTTCTCCCACCAGAAGGATCCGCACGTCTTTCTTCATGTCTGCGGCTCGCAGGGGCCGGCCTCGGCCCGCACGCATGGAGCGGACTCCTCTCGCCCGGAGCGCCCAGCCCGCGGCG